ACACTGCCTATCAACCCAGTTTTGCATGAGAAGTATCAAAAAATACCTCATAAAACAGCCAATAATTTTTTTTCTCTATTTTTCAAGGTAATCTTTATAATAACAACAATGTGCAGGGTTCAAAAGCTGTTTAACCCTTTCAGGGTCAGCAGGGCCTCTCCTAAACTTGTTCTCAGGGTCGAAAAAAAAAAATTATTTTTTCTTACGAAATGACAGAGAATGTTTTCCTGATCATAAGGACACCAAAAGTATGAAATCTGATGGAAAACTTACGGAGTTATGCTCTCACGAAGTTAGCGGTCACAACGATGTTTACGCATCGGCGATTTCGCCCACTTTGAGCCCTTTTTTCGGCCAATTCCAATGTACCAGTCGATAAAAATTATACCTAATTCACTAGAACTCCATTTTTTCTATCGAATGAGTACAAGAAACCACCCATTTACCGATTTTCACTATCCAATAACGTGGTTAGAAACTGGCAATTTTGCAAATTTCACACAAATTTCAAAAGATGCCAATTTCCAAATAGGGTCCAGAATAAACAAGATAGACATTTCTGGCACTAAAATAACATTTCCTCTGTTCATTACTCATGTCCCCAGGCCTCTGTTACATTTCTTTTGCTTTCCACTTTGAATTTTTATTCTCAAAAAAATAGAAGATTTATGTTATGCAGACTACTGCATTCGTGTAGAAATGGCATAGAAATGGTATAAATAATATCAGGGCACATGTGAAAAAATATTACACTCGCCAGTTGATGTGTATTGGATGCGTGGCATGATTTGTATACCTTTGAACTTTGACAAAAATCAAACATTTCTGCTATTTTGAGCTCAATTTCAAGGTACTTTTCATTGTCAAACCAATCAAAATCATCTCAATTTCCATAATATGTCTTCCATTCTATAAAATGAGACCACGAAAACTAGAATACAACCATAAATAGCATAGGAAAATACACTGCAAAGTCGCTGTTTTGAACCAAAAACACGGTCGGAGTTTTTTTTTTCTCATTATGCACTGTGTGCTGCAGGATTTTTTTTATACCTAGCACACTGACCACAGACCCATTCTTTCATATGTAGGCCTACCAGCTTTCTCTCGCTAGATCTGAAGGTGCTAGAATTTATGTGTACTAGTACGGCACCAACCCTGGCCTGCAAGCCATACTAGTACGGCACCAACCCTGAAAGGGTTAAATCATAGTAAAAATTTATTTGAAATTGGATAATTAGAAAAAAAAGATATTTAGCTCTCTCCCTCTTAACCCTTTGACTGTCGCAAGCCTCTGAAACTTTCATTCTATGTCGATAAATTTTTGGAAAAAAAAAAAATTCTTATGATAAGAGGATCTTTTCCCGATGGTAATGACACCAAAAGTACGAAATTTGGTCAAAAACTCATGGAATTACGCTCCCGCGAAGTTAGCGGTCTTCGCGACATATACGCCTTGGCAATTTCACCAAATTTGAGCCCTGTTTTTGGCCAATTCCGTTGTTCCAGAGGACCAAACTCATAGCTATATCTTTAGAACTCCATTTTTTCTATCTGTTGAGTACAAGAAACCACCCATTTACCGATTTGAACTACCCAATAAAGTGGTCAGAAAATGGCAATTTGGCCAATTTCACGCAAATTAAAAAAAATGCCAATTTCAAAATAGGGTCCAGAATAAACTATGTAGACATTCTTGGCACTAAAATAACATATCCTCTGTTCATTAGTCACGTCTCTAGGCCCCTCTTATATTACTATTGCTATTTTGATTTTTTATTCATGCAAAAAAATACAAAATTTACTGTTATGCAGATTACTGCATTATTGTAAAAATGGTATAAATAATATCAGTGCACTAGTGAAAGAATATTAGACTCCCCAGTTGAAGGGTATTGGACGTGTGGTGTAATTTGCTTACTCCTGAACATTGGTAAAAATCGAACATTTCCGCTACTTTGAGTTCAATTTCAAGGTCGTTTCCATCGTGAAAGTAATCAAAATCCTCTCTATTTCTGTAATATGTTTCCCATTTTATCACCTGAGACCATGAAAATGAGAATACAACGATAAATACTATACGAAAATACACCTCAAAGTCGGCATTTTAATAAAAAAAACGGTCAAAGTTTTTTTTCTCATTACGCACTGCGTGCTGCAGGATTTTTTTTTATGAATTGCACACTGACCACACAGACCCATTCTCTCACATGTGGGCCTACTGCTTTCTCCCGTTTGATTTGAAGCCGCTAGAATTTACGTGTATAAATACGTTGGAGACAGTGGTGCGTAAGAAGTATACATGTACAGTGGACCCCTGCATACCGTTGGCATCACATAACGTTAAATCCGCATACCGATACATTTTATCGCTAAGATTTTGCCTCGCATACCGCTAAAAAACTCGCTCAACGCTATTCGTCCAAGACGTGTCTAATGTGCGGCCTGAGCCAGCCTCACATGTTCCGCGGGTGGCATTGTTTACAAGCCAGCCTCCACGGTAACATCCAAGCATACAATCGGAACATTTCGTATTATTACAGCGTTTTTGGTGATTTTATCTGCAAAATAAGTGACCATGGGCCCCAAGAAAGCTTCTAGTGCCAACCCTACAGGAATAAGGGTGAGAATTACTATAGAGATGAAGAAAGAGATCATTGCTAAGTATGAAAGTGGAGTACGTGTCTCCGAGCTGGCCAGGTTGTATAGTAAACCCCAATCAACCATCGCTACTATTGTGTCCAAGAAAACGGCAATCAAGGAAGCTGTTCTTGCCAAAGGTTCAACTGTGTTTTCAAAACAGAGATCGCAATCGATAGAAGATGTTGAGAGACTCTTATTGGTGTGGATAAACAAAAAACAGATAGCAGGAGATAGCATCTCTCAAGCGATCATAAGTGAGAAGGCTAGGAAGTTGCATCAGGATTTAATTAAAAAAATGCCTGCAACTAGTGATGATGTGAGTGAATTTAAGGCCAGAAAAGGTTGGTTTGAGAGTTTTAAGAAGCGTAGTGCCAGACAGTGTGATAAGGCATGGTGAGGCTGCCAGTTCAGACCACAAAGCAGCTGAAAAATATGTGCAGGAATTCAAGGAGTACATAGACAATGAAGGACTGAAACCTGAACAAGTGTTTAATTGTGACGAAACAGGCCTGTTTTGGAAGAAAATGCCAAGCAGGACCTACATTACTCAGGAGGAAAAGGCACTCCCAGGATATAAGCCTATGAAAGACAGGCTTACTCTTCTCATGTGTGCCAATGCTAGTGGTGATTGCAAAGTGAAGCCTTTATTAGTGTATCACTCAAACTCCCAGAGCGTTCTGGCAAAAGAATATCCTCAAGGCTAATTTGTGTGTGCTGTGGAGGGCAAACAGTAAGGCATGGGTCACTAGGGACTTCTTCTATGACTGGTTACACCAAGCATTTGCCCCCAATGTGAAAAATTACCTAACTGAAAAGAAATTAGACCTTAAGTGCCTCCTGGTGTTAGACAATCCCCCTGGTCATCCTACAGACTTGGCAGAGTGACTTTGTGGGGACATGAGCTTCATTAAGGTCAAGTTTTTGCCTCCTAATACCACTCCTCTCCTGCAGCCCATGGACCAGCAGGTTATTGCAAACTTCAAAAAACTGTACACAAAAGCTCTGTTTGAAAGGTGCTTTGTAGTGACCTCAGAAACTCAATTGACTCTTAAGAGAGTTTTGGAGAGACCACTTTATTATCCTCAATTGTGTAAACCTTATAGGTAAGGCTTGGGAGGGAGTGACTAAGAGGACCTTGAACTCTGTTTGGAAGAAACTGTGGCCAGAATGTGTAGACAAAAGGGATTTTGAAGGGTTTGAGGCTAACCCTGGGAATCCTATGCCAGTTGAGGAATCCATTGTGGCATTGGGAAAGTGCTTGGGGTTGGAGGTTAGTGGGGATGATGTGGAAGAGTTGGTGGAGGAGGACAATGAAGAACTAACCACTGATGAGCTGCTAGATCATCTCCATCAGCATGAGGCCACACCTGAGGAAACTGCTTCGGAGGAGGGGAGAGAGAAATTGAAGAAGTTGCTTACTTCAAAGATTAAGGAAATCTGTGCAATGTGGCTTAAAGTGCAAACCTTCATGGATGAAAATCACCCTCGGACAGCTGTTGCAAGCCGTGCTGGTGACTATTACACAGACAATGTTGTGAACCACTTTAGGAAAGTTATAAAGGAACGAGAGGTACAGACCTCTATGGACAGATATGTTGTGCGACAGAAGTCCAGTGACTCTGAAGCTGGTCCTAGTGGCATTAAAAGAAGAAGGGAAGTAACCCCAGAAAAGGACTTGACATCTCAAGTCTTAATGGAAGGGGATTTCCCTTCTAAACACTAAGACTCTCTCCTCCTCCCATCCCATCAATCATCACCAGATCTTCAATAAAGGTAAGTGTCATGTAACTGTGCATGTCTTCTTCAGTTTGTGTGTATTAAAATTAATACACCTACCATCCGACTTACAACCTGCTCGACTTGCGACCACTCGACTTATGACCGTGTTTTTTATGTCAAATTTCTGGGAAATAAACAACTATTTTTGTTGTACACAGTGTTTATCCTAAACCTTACAGTATAAAATACAGTACTAACAGCATAAAAAGTAAAGTAAAACATGAAATACCAAAATAAAACAATAAAATAAAGTCATTACAAAAATGTTTTGTTGATATTCAGTAGTAAAGTTCGACTTACGACCATTTCGACTTACGACCGGTTTCTCGGAACCGAACTCGGTCGTAAGTCGGATGGTAGGTGTATTTCATGTGGTAAAAAAAAAAATTTTTCATGCTTTTGGGTGTCAGGAACGGATTAATTTGATTTCCATTATTTCTTATGGGGAAAATCCATTCGCATAACGATAATTTCGCATAACACTGAGCTCTCAGGAACGGATTAATAGCGCTATGCGAGGGTCCACTGTATATACGACCGAAACAGTCAAAGGGTTAAACTGAACTTTCATTACTTACCTTCCTTAGTTGGGAGAACGCACTTCTCCTGTGTCTGTGTTTTTTTCAGTGCAGAAGGGTTAAAGCCCTCAATACCCTCACGGAGAGCCTGTTGACCCTTTTCCGCATCGATATCTGAAACAACATGGGAATGTACTATTTCTCCATGGGATTACTAATTTTCCCCAAAAAAACAATGATTCATGAACTTCAAAAATCTGACTGATAATGGTATTACTTCAACTTTAGTACATGCAATTATTAAGCATTACACATATTTCCATGTTTTCTGTTAGAATAAAAATACACACTGTAATGATCAACAGTACAAGTGCATACACACAGCCTCAAAAAAAAAAAAAAATTTAAACATTCAATTATCTGTGCATTCCCAAATCTGAACAGCAATGTGGCTCTAAAGGGAAATTTTTTCATATCCTTTTATAAATTTGTATGTGGATATTACATCTCTAATCTTTGTCTCATTTTAGAAATGTGCCTTTCCAAAGCTTTTAATTTTTGTGTAAAACGTGTAATTATTCATTGAATTTTGTGTAAGAGAGCAGTGCATATGCACATTAGGTACAAAAATTATGTTCAAAATTTGCATGCAGGAGAATGGAAATGGAACAAATTAAGAATTATGCATTTGTCCAACTCGGCAATCACCAGCTGAGTAAGAATGTCAAATACAAGAGTGATTCACTAGTCTATAATTGTAAGGTTTAGGATGAGAGTAGTTAGTTAGAAATAGAAATTGCATTAATTTTTACAGTTTAGATAAACAGTACCAAATCCTAAATATGAATAATACACCACAAACGTTAATTCTACAAACTAAAGAAAATGGCATGAAAAATATTGCACACCATAATATTTAAACTATCATGCTCCTCCACCTGCTTTAGAGGGCAAAACAATTCTCTCCTGTGTATCTGCATGCTTCATCTCGCTTTTGTCGAAGGAAACCAAGCGCTGAAATATACCCTGATGGGTTCGCTCAGTTTCAATATCTGCCAAGTAGTTTACCTCATTCAATAACATTCCTTTTCTCTCTTTTTTTATTACCAAATATAAAATTATATTCATATTTTTAATAATTATTTTTGCAGTTTCATTACTTACTGATATTTCAGTCCTGTGTTCAAAGTGACAGTGAAGTAACCTATTGCTTAGGGCAGTACATATAAAAAAAAAAAAAGGGGGGGGGGGTCCATTAACATTTGCACGATTAGAATCAAAGCACAACTGTGTAATAAAAGAAACTGCACATAACATCAAGTGAAGGGTAAAGGGAAGGGGTAGAGGGGTGTAAAATACCAAGTGGTCATTCAACATTCCACAGTCGTAGTAGTCATCTCTCTCGGAGTAGGACCAGACAGTACTATGCATGTACCATTCAACGTATCATGTCTCAAAAAAAGTTAAGAGGCTAGTATCCAACATTAATTAAAATTAAGTGCATAAAGGCATTATTAAGTCAGCTGAACTATGTGCATGATGCTCATCATACATAAATATATTATTCACACTATATATTGTAATCACACTAGTTAAGTGCTCGCCACAGCAAACTAAGGTATGAACATCACCTTCAGGTGAAGGGAGGACAACCTTTTCCTCCGTAGATACCTGCCGCATGGTGGATTTATCAAAGGAGGTAATTCTCTGGAAAAGTCTTTGGTGTGCTTTTTCTGTTTCAATATCTGGATGATAGCACAAGAATTAAAGCTCAGTATAAAAAAAAAAAAAAAAAAAAAAAAAAAAAAAAAAAAAAAAAAAAAAGGAAAATTATCCATAGTATCATGCTCCTTCTCAGCCTACCAGCTCCATGGTGCTTGTGGATCTAAATATGGTAACCATTACTCACATCAAATAACACTTACATGTTAAATTTTGGTTTCCTTATAAATATTTCACACAACCCACAAAATTCAAGCATAAAATTACTAAAAGTGAGGATTTCAGATACCCATAAATAATAATCATAACAGTTTGTATAGTAGCTAAAGAAAAAACTAGGTAAACACATTTACAGAATTCTTTTGGCATTAACACTCTTAATAAAAGTTTTAGTAAAATAATTTTTATATTTCATTCTCTATCCTATATGGTATTAATTCATATATTACATTTACACAATATTTCTAACAAGTACGGTACACACTAAGTGAAAAATAAGCAATGTTCTTATTTCACAGAATCTACAATTGGCCAGCAATGATTTGTAGTGCAATGGTGAAATTTTTGTATTTGCTGGACTATGGCTAAATAAATTCCTTGCTATGGTAATGGATACGATAAAGTGAACTACAACCAATTGTACAGTGCTCGAAGGTATACTGTATCAAAGTTAAATTTTTATTTTATTGCAGATTTAAGCTCAAATCAGATAATTTACAGTACTTACTAACCTGCCTGAAATGCAATGAAAGCAACAATATACAAACACTGCCACATCTAAATATCTAAAGGCTAAAAATGTACTTTGCTAGTCAGTTTACTTCTGGGGTTTAGGAATTTATTACAGCATTTACCTTCTGCATGACATTTTAGTAAGCCAACACCACATGACAGGGTTAAAGAACGTAAGGAATTTTAAAATAAAGAGAAGAGATATTTACAAAAAGAATACTCATAGTGTATATGACTGGCCATCACCAATGACAGAAGAAATCTCTAGTTGGACAAAAACTGAATTCCATAATATTCCTTCATATATAAAGGATATTTACTGAAAATTATTATTCATGCCTCATTCACTATTTTATGTACTGTACTGAAATACTTTTAACTTCAGTACATTACTTTATTCTCAGTATTATCTTTTTTTGTAGCTAAAGGCATAGAGCTGTGCTAGTGGTGTCCCCTTAATTCTTGAAATGACAGTGGTTACAACTAACACACTATGAAAAAGGAAAGCTCTCATCATTATATATGAAAAATATTCTTAACTTGGTTCATTATTTATTCATAATTTTGTTTGTGGCTATCCTCTCTTTTCCAAATGGGGTGTATTTCAAGTTATTTCATCATTCTTTATGTATATATTTAATTTTATGGATAATTTTTGCTGTATTTTGATTATTTCCTCTAGTGTGCATTTCTTTGGGTGCAAACACCAAATACATGTACACTAAAGCTGCTTATACTGATGCCTTTTGCAAGTACAAGGTACAGATTGCACATGCTGCTGCAACTGGGAGATTAGAAATCTGTCTAAAATCAATGTATAACGCAAGTATTATATAAAGAATAAGATGTGATAAAATCGGAAGACTGTGGTACTGTATAATATATAAAGATCAAAAAAGTGTTGTCATAATGGTTTAGTCATGTGGAAACAGTAAAGCAAGAGGGGTTGGTTTAGGAGGGTGATTAGCAGATATCTGGTGTGGGGAAGGGGTGGCGATGGTTAAAGAGGGATGGTGGAATTTTATTCATAAATCATTTCAGAAGAAAATAAGAAAAGAAGAAGAAAAGAAGAAGAAAAGAAGAAAAGAAAAGAAAAAAAGAAATGAAAAGGAGAAAAAAAAAAGAAAACGCTTAATGAACTAATTGTGAACAACTATCGGTGCTAAGAAATCCATTCTATCTCAGGGTATCAAAGACAGGTATACTTTTTTTTTTTTTACCTCCCCCAAGTACTATTAAAAACAGTGAGGGATGGTTTATGAGGATACGATTTCAATGAACTTTGTGCAATTATGATCGAAAAGAAGTGCTAAACCACAAGGGTTATACAGCACAGCAGGGCAGGGAAGGATGCATGGGTAATGGGTAGTAAGAGGGAGAGGGATGATTATTAGGTTATGAAGTGCAGTGGGGCAGTGGATAGTGCAGGGGTAGAGGGTAGCTAGAGATTAACATGGAAAGGACTGAGGAGAGTGCTAGAGACATCATAATCAGAGTTCATGTAGTAAATCAGTCAATGAGAGTGTCTGGATTAAAGGAGGGTCCATCAGCAAGAAGTGAAGGTAAAGAAAGGGCAGCAGAGCGGAGACAATGGCGGAGGTAAATTCTGTGTGCTCATTGATAGAGTGGGCAGTCCAACAGAATGTAGCTAACATATACTGGAACTTGACAATTCTCACAGAGGAACAGGACGCCTCTCCATGAGATACCCGTGAGTAAGACGAGTGTGGCCGATGTTAAAACAGGAGAGAGTAGTCTCCCAACCTTGACACTGATGACAAGAAGACGGCCAGAAACCTATACTCAGTTTAACAGAATGAAGTTTATGGAGCAGATCAGACCAACGATGTTGCCAACGGGTGCGAAGATGGGTAGCAACTACAGCAAAATAGTCCGTGAATGGAACACCTCTTTATGACACCGGGAGGTCATGTATGGCTGACAGTGCAGCAGTGTCTGCCTGTTCATTGCCCTGTATGTCAACATGACCAGGGACCCAACAAAAAACTATCTCTGTTTGCTAGAGATACGGCATAATCAAAGTTGGATACGAAGAACTAGGGGGTGAAGTGTATCTAATTTCCGTATAACCTGTAAAGCACTAAAGGAGTCTGAAATGACCACAAATGGTGACACGGGCATAGATGCAATACGGATAAGTGCTACAAGAATGGCATACAATTCTGCCATAAAAATGCTAGACGAGGGTAATAAATACCCTCGCATGACACTGTCTGGAAACACTGCTGCGAGTCCAATGCCATCAGAAGACTTAGAACCATTGGTATACACTGCAATGGCATGAGAATGAGAGAGGAAGTGGACAAGAAAAAGAGAAGGAAGCCACCATAGGTAATTGGGCTTTTGCACATGCCAGTGGGAAAGAAGAGACACGAACAGCCGGAACTTCCCAAGGGGGCAGGGAAAAGTGAGAAGCTACGTGAACAGAGAGAGGTGGTAACTGAAGAGAAGACAAGAACGAATGTAGGCGGAGAGAAAAGGGACAGTAAACAGGGGCGACAAATAAAGAACGTTTACTAATATCAGTGACTATCCTACATAGGGAAGGATTGTAGAATTCATGAGACTGAACATAACAGCGAAGGCAATGAGCATCACGGCGATCAGACAAGGATGGAAAATTTGTTTCTGCATGGAAGCTCTCAGCAGGGGATGAACAAAAGACACCAAGGCACAGACAGAGACCTTATGATGTATAGGATCTAACTTAGAGTTGCAGGAGAGGCCACAGAATAGATTTAGTCACCATAATCTAGCTTGGACAAGATTAGGGTGGCATGCAAATGGAGGAGAGTGCAACAATCTACTCTCCATTAACAATGTGCGAAAACCTTTAAGGAGATTTAGCTGACCATGGCAAGTTGTCTTTAAAGAAGAAATGTGAAGTCTCCACATCAGCCGGTGATCAAAGAGCAGGCCCAAAAACCTGACCGTATCACATGCCGGAATACGTGAACTGTGTAAGTACAAGGGAGTATCCGGTATAAGCGGGCGTCTAGTGAGGGTAATGAACCGGGTTTTCGTACTGGAAAATTTAAAGCCACGAGAAGTGGTCCAATGGGAGACACTGTCTATTACAACATGAAGGGAGGCTGCTACTAGCTGACAGTTAGTGCCCGAGTAAGCTATAGTAAAGTCATTAACAAAGTGATGACCAAATATGCAAAGGAAGAATGGATGGTTGGTCATTTAAAGCTAAGAGAAAAAGAGTAGTACCGAGGACACAACCTTGTGGGACTCCTTCGGCTTGTACAAAGTCCGAGGAAAGTGAGGCGCCAATACAGACCCGAAAATGTCTATCGGACAAGAAAGCAGAGATGAAGTATGGTATATTACCATGGAGGCCTAAGGAGTGGGCTTGGGCTAAAATGTTATACCTCCAAGTGGTGTCACATGCCTTCTCTAGATCGAAAAAGACCGCTAGGACAGAGTGGTTGTTAGCAAAGGCATTTCAAATATGCGTATCAAAGTGGGGCAAGGGGTCTAAAGTAGAGCAGCCTTTGCAAAAGTCATACTGGTGAGGGGAAAGGCTGTTGTCTCTAAGAACCACATCAGATGTCTATTCACCAATCGTTCCATCACCTTGCAGACCACACTGGTCAGGGCAATGGGACGATAGCGAGGTGTCAAGCCCTGAGGCGCCCAGTTTGTGAAAATGTAGTACAATAGCTGATTTCCAGTGTTGTGGGAGAACCCCTTGCTCCCAAATTAAACTGAAAAGATGCAAAGGAACGGGAAGGGCCGTAGAATGGAGATGGTGTAGCATACTGATGTGGATATCATCAGGTCCTGTTGCCGATGGCTGGCACATGGAAAGCGTGGACTCTAAATCTAGAAGAGTAAAAGGTATGTTATATGGCTCCAATCCATTGGAGGAAAAATCTAAGGGCAATTGCTCTTTGATAGGTTTAGACACAAGAAATGAGGGACAGATGTGAAGCCCTTGGGAGATACGGACAAGATAGTTCCCGATTTCTGTGGCATCAACTCCAGCAACCCACAAAATGGGAGCTTGGTCTGGAGTGTACTCACACAATTTCCGCACCTTTTTCTAAATTGTGCACATAGGGGAAGATGAAGTAATGGTAGGCACGTAGTCTTGCCAACAAGCGCATTTAGCATTGCGTATGACACTGCAAGCAACTGCCCTTGCCCGCTTAACTTAAAGTCCAACAGAAGCTCCGTGGTACAGTTATATCGACAACGGCCCCACGAAGCACGTTTTAAACGCACCATGCGGGTGCACGTAGGCGACCACCAAGGTACGCATGTCTGAGAATGCCTACCTGAGGTTTGAGGGATAAAACGAGTTGCCGCAGTGAGGAGTAGGGTCGAAAATTGGTGCGCCAGTTCATCAACAGACAATGAAAGGGGGTCTTCGCAACAGGTAGTAAAATGGGAGTACAAGTCCCAATCTGCTCAAGCAAATTGCCAATGAGGGTTACAAAATGGTTGGGTATATGTAATAGAAGAAGGAAGGAAGGGAAAGGGATCACTATCATGTAAATCTGGAAGAACAGACCGTGTAAAATCAAGTGCAATGTATGAGGAACAGATAGAAAGATCAATGCAGGAGAGAGACAGTGCGAGAGTCAAAATGGGTAGGAGCACCTGCATTTAAAACATGAAGAGGATGAGAAGTGAGAAGAGTCCAACTGATCACGAGTCTCAGTGGGACCCTCCCCACAGGTGATGGCGAGCATTAAAATCACCCAACAACAAGATGGGCAGCGGTAGAGAAGAAATTAAAAATGCGATATCAGAGATACAAAATGCACAGGAGGGAGAAAGATAGAGAGAGCAAACTGTAAACCATCTGTGTAAATAAATACGAGCTGCAGTATAATGCAGCAGGGAATGAATAAAAACCTGTTGATACAGTATATCAATGCGCACAAGAAGAGTGCTTTCATTAAATGATTCATCAAGCAAGGGATCTGAAAAATGTAATAGCATGTAGCCCGAAACGGGGCGAATGACAGCAGAACAAATTTTGGGCTCTTGCAACCCAACACATACTAGGGACAACTGGGAGAGCAACACTGAGTTCTCCTCGATTGCCCCTAAGGCCACAAATATTCCATTGTAAAAAAGACATTATGTACAGAAATAAAATTGGCAACAATAAGAAATGATAAAACCTATGGGCTTTTAGGATCTGTAAAGTCATCGTGCGGGGGTAATGGTAAGCGTGTAAGCATGTAAGCACGACCCTCACATTGTGAGGGTCGTGAAACAGAAGGGGTAGGAGGAGTTGCATTGGTGTCCATCGGGGGTGTTGTCTCCGCAATATACCTGGAGATAGCGTCTAACATCTCTGTTGGGGGGAACAGAGGGAGGGGGGACTACATGAGGGGGAGTGAACCTCTACCTTCGTGCGAGAGCTGGAAAGGGGGTGAGAACGAGGTTCCGAGGTAAGAGATATATTCTGTGCAGGTGTTGGATGCGAAGAAAGTCTGCAAGGTCTCGTAGACTGAGAAGCAAGTGTGCGAGATGAAGTAGTAGAAGTAGGAAGTGGTGTGGAGGTGGGAGTGTCAGATGATAAAACTGCAAAAGAATTAGAAACTGGGGCAACCCAGGAAGACACAGACGCAGAGGGACTGGGAGGACCGTTGAGGTAGGTGGTCTTCGGGCTACCCGAGCATAAGGGACACGAGGGAGTTTATCTTGAAGGCGGAGCTGAGAGACAGCCACAGTGTGAGGCCCTCAAGCTCCTTAAGATAACAGATCTTTCGTTCATCATGATAAACCTGACAATGGCGTGAAAAGGAAGGATAAGGTTCCCTGCAATTTAGACAAGAGAAGGTAAGACTACAAGACGTATTGGAATGATCTGCTGCACCGCAGACTGGGCATTCCGCCACAGATCTGCAGTGTTTAGTGGGGTGTCCAAAACACCAGCAATTACGACACTGTTGGGGAGTGGGAACTACTTGACGGACCTCTAGGTGATGTCCCACAATATAGACAGAAGACAAGCTCATGGAAGTCAAATGTTAAAGGAGTGATGTTACTAGGAAAACGCCTCCTCCCACGAACACGCAGGATGTACGTATCTACCTTGAAAATAGGGAGGTTCTGAAGGATTAATTGTTCTAAAATATCCTCACCGCAAGACAAAAAATCACTCTGTACAATGGTACGTGGTAAGACCACAGTACCACTGCAAGAATTAAGAGTAGCCTGTACGAACGGTGACTGGTATGTTGTCTATGTTAGTGATGCGGAAGAGAGCATGAGCTTGCTCTGAATTCTGCACTGTTATGACATGCTCACTGCTTTGAAGAGCATGGAAGGATATATTTTGGCTAACATGCCATAAAAGAGTTACCAATTCCGTGATCAGAAAGATAATCAGTTTGAGACGTCATTTGTAAAGAAAAGAATTTTGTCCACTGCATACTCATCAGTTCGGTATGCAAAGGCAGCGAGTGTTGTGTAGGTCGTTTTTGAGTGATCACTGACGAACTGTCATTGGTAGATTGTCTTGGATGCTTAGGAGTGGAACAGCGGGTGGTCTGACCCGAAGGAGATGGGTGATCCGAGAACTGGCGCACCGTATTTGGGGAAGCCGGACGCATTGTGAAAGGCGTGCTAGAAACAGCGGCATGAACAGAAACGGGTGATGCCACAGCACCTGAAGCAGGTGACGAAGTGTCACCAGCAGAAGGTACAGGGGTACGAGAAGAGTCTCGAGAGAACGGTCCGATAAAGCCGGGTCAGAACAGGGTGGTGGGATCAGAATGGGGCCTGGGTGGAGGAAGGGTTTCACAGGGCAAAGATGCCATAATAATAGGTGCATCTTCTGTAATATCTTCTTTCTTGTTATTGTAAGAAAAACAGAAAGAAAAAAGAAAAAAAAGAGGGACAGCAGAGGGACAGTCACTAGGAGGTATGGAGGGGCCAAAAGCTCCTCCCCTCATCCAAGAGGGCCTCAAGCCCACTGGCAGTGAAGATGCAGCATGGAGCCCGTGCCATACCCTACCCTTCATGCCAGTAAACCAGCGCTCTGGGATAGCAGCCTCACATCCACCAAGCTACCTAGGCGAACAAAAGAAAGGACAGTCGGAAACCCGCCACAAAGCATACCTCCTTTGGCTGCCACCCCCAGAACCAACAGGCAGCTTCCGAGATACACCCATCATCTAAAGGGCACCCAGCCCACAACCTGGAAATCCAGAAAGAGAGCAGGGCATCCTCAGACAATTCAGATTCCAGGGCAAACTACACCACCCACGAGGGATCTCACGGAGGGGGACGAACCCCAGCATGTCACCCCCACCTAGAAAGCGCAATGCCAGAGGGGAGGACCCCAGACGCTAAAAACGGGACGGGGAAAAAGGAGAGGGCTGGGAGAGGGGAGGGAAGGGGAAAAAAAGGGAGGGGTATGGGGAGGGAAGGACAGGGAAGGGAGGACTGGGGGGTACTTAGACTCAGTCTAAGGAAGGAGACCAAATGATATGATTCCAGAGACCAAGAGCCTCTTCGCCATGTCAAGGAGCCCCCTTGAAGAGGAACTTTGTGCAAACCTTGCTTAATTTATAAACAAGCATTTTCATAATCTAGCTTCAATGTACCTGTTATCAGTAAGTACAGTACACTGTTGTTCAATACACTCACTGGGTTATGTCTACATTAATAATTTGGGTTCAGAATGCCTGCACTCTGGAGGAGGAGTGGGGATACTGCAGTTAAGAGAGCATCTGAACTTTGATGACAGCATGAGTGAAAGTTTCACCTGCTTTCAATCCTCCTACCTCAGTGGGAGAAGGAAGGTGTTAAAAATACATATATTGTTGCCAGTTTCAAATAAACTAATCATTAAGCTCATTTGGTTTGGTTTTTGACAATTCAAATAATGTACTGTTTCTCCTAATATCTTTGATATTTTTTATCTTTTCTGCATCTTGCTAAGAGTTAAACTAGTGTACATTTCTCTCTTATTTAGTTCCAAAAGATAATTTTGCCAAAATTTACTTCAAGATTAGGTACCATTTGTCAACCATGCTCTGTTGTCAAGTATGTGAACCTAAATACAGCAAAAATGTATATTTCTGGTCAACCACCATAGATTTATTTTTTTTATTTTTCTTCTTTGATTTACCCATGAGGGATCTGGGACACCACTTAATACTGCTTTACACCCTAAACTATCAAAATTGGAATAAATATTGCTAGTGATAACAGCAAAGCTATGAAAGGAAAGATCAATATCAGATACTGAGCATTTCTAAACAAACTGGTTGTTTGCTTTATTAGCTCTTTCTCAATTTAAACTTAAAGAAAATAACACTGCAATAGCAAAATAACCAAAGCATGACAAATTATATGAAGCAATATTCTGGAAAATAGTGTATCAAAATTAATTATCAGACATGAAGCTAAACTATGCTGTAGACCATACTCCACTACTACCCGACACTGATTTACTTCTTCTTGCATCTAGTACCTTCTTTGGCAGGTAAGGCAACCTTTTCTTCAGTCTCGGCATGTCGCATTTGTGACTTGTCAAATGCCGTAACTCCCTGGAATATGCTCTGGTGTGTCTTCTCTGTCTCGATATCTGTAGCCCCACAATAAAAATGAAAAAAAAAAAAATTGAGAGAAAGATCTAGACACAAACGATGCCCCAATTTTTACTGATATATATTTTGAGCCATGCTATAGTATTAAACCACTCAAGAATGTAAGTATTTTGTCATATAATGTACAAAATACAGACCAATACAAGCTTGGGTATGAAGAAAAACCAAGTACTTTTCAAGATACTAAATCAACTGATTCACTATGAATGTACATTTTCCACACAACTGAGAATACTTCACAGTAGCTTGAAAGGCTGCATAATGATAACTGGCATACTTTAGAAGACCACCACTATCTTGAGAATGGTCAAGCACCTTCCAACTAGCAAAAAAGCAACTAGCAAAAGGCACTAATACTAAATACATATAAACTTGTTGTGAAATTTTCTAAATTCTATAGCATTTCTATAGGAAAGCAGACCATTTAAGAGCAAAGCAGATAAATAAAAATAAAAAAAAGGGGGGGGGGGCACACTACTCTGCAAGAAATTTCCTGGGGTTCCCTAAATTCCTGTATTATATTTTGGAGAGGACAGTAATACAGAACAAAAAACACCGATGAATATGCCCAAGACAAACTAGAGATACAGAACTAATAAACTGTCACAACACTACATTCCTTAAGTAAACTTCTTTTCTTCCCAAGTTAATTTGAATAAAACAGTTGGTAAGAGTAACCACATGATGTAACACAATGAGCATTCGCTGACCTCTGCCCAATCTTCCACGTTTTTATAATTTATAACCAAATCTAGAAGGTTCAGTGAAAAAATCTTACTATAACAGTACAGTAAGAATTACCAAAGCAATAATAATTATAGTATAGTAAAAATAAAAAAGAATACCTGTAAATAAAGTTTAAAACACTGGTATAAATACAACCATCAATAAATACTGATTCTAAACATTCACAGTTTCAAGTTTTTAGTGCATATATTATAGGAAAACTTTCCGTATAGTATTGTATGTAATAAAAAGGCTGAAGAAAATGCTTAGTAATTTAAAACAAAATAAGCAGATTCCACAAATTAACTAGGTAGCCATTCTAGTTTATTAGCTCTTTTTAACAGAACAAGATTAGCTGAAATAATTAACAGATAGTTTTTATAGTTAGCAGGAAAAAGGTACAGAAAGTTAGATGGCAATACTGCAGAGTATTTTTTTTTTATTTTTTTAACTATCATTTAATTTACTTCCAATCTATTGCAGCATCTTTAAACTTCCAGTATAATACTTAACAGTAACAATCCTCTATTATGATTTATACTGGGGCTACACTGCTGCTGTTCAATTTGATGAAATATTCCATTCACACACAGCTTCTCTAAGACAATTTGAAAATACAGTGGTACCCAGAGTTTCGTACATAATTCATTCCAGAAGGCTGTTCGAGTGCCGTTACCAAACGAATTTGTTCCCATAAGGAATAATGTAAATTAGATTAGTCTGTTTCAGCCCCCAAAAATACACTTACAAAAGCACTTACAATAATACACTTACATAACTGTTAGAGTTAGGAGCTGTACAAAACTCAGTGGTACAACTGTACAGAAAAAAAAATAGAGAACTATATAGAATTCATAAAAATTTCCACAAAACTTTTTTTATAATTTAATTTTTTGCTAACTGGGTAAATTAACCATAAAGCATGTTCCACACAGCAAACCTCAATACTTGCTGCATGCAGCCTTCTCAAAATGACAGACCCAGATTCACGTTCGTAAAACAGTTCCATGCACACTAACCATAACTGACGCTACTGATCATTTTCTCAGCGCTCATGCCTCATTCATCCATCTACTTTATGGACATGTCCCTCTATACCATCAACACGTGTAATAAAGACAGAGGCATAATGCCAACAGGCACTAGTATAAATATGAGAAAACTCTTACTGGGACTGTTTAACTCAACCCTGAGCAAAATGTTCTCAACACAAACCTGTTCAGCATAGCAAAAATTTTAAATTTTGTTGAAATACTTAACAGATTTCCCAGCTCACAGATTTATGTTATGCCTTTCTTATGAATTTCAATACTAATGCCATTAGAATATTTTAACACCCTGCAGTTATTGGTTCTAAAACTAATAGACATTTTCATCAACAAAATTTTCCCCCTAGAATTTTCCCAATAACATTAAGCCATTTATAAACGAGCTCGTTTCACAATGTCTCAGTATTGTTCACTTATAAATGACCAATTTTTTCAGTGTCTCGCTATTGTTTGCCAATAGGTTACTAAAGAATAAAATGGAGACGAATGAGAACATTTGACAGGCTCCCGTGGATGAACAAACAATTGAGAAAAAAAAAATCCTGAAAGGTGTGGAAAGCAAACTTACTTTTTTCCAACAGAACATACTACATGCATCTGATTGGCATCGATACTATATCTGATTGTAGACTACATTTCAACTCTTTCCTCTGCCTTCTAGTTTTATGTATTGAATTCACTTAATAACTATACTGTACATCAATTTATATCCATCATCTTAGGGTGCAATTTCATGTAAGAAAACAAGTAAATACACTATTGCACTGACACTGCATTTGTACCATTACACATTCCATTACTACAAAAGGGTTCTAAGTACAAACTTGACGAGATTACTACAAACTGTCTACTGCAATTTTTCATAATGTTCATAACCACGTCAATCAATTCAGGACCCTCTTGATTCCCCCCCATTCACTTCATGACTTTCATACTAACAAATAATGCCTCAAATTTTTTTAAACTAATTGGCCCTGACTACTCTCACAAGCACTATCTTAGGTTGAAAATTAAGAATGGAAAAAACTTTCTACCATCAATTACCCTGTTCTATGGCTACAATGAAGGATAGTACCAATTTTCTCATTTTCAAGTGACCCTCTTTGGGAACAGTTTTCCATTTGTTTTATCTTCACTTGTGTGTAATTTTTTTTTTTTTTTTTTTTTTTTTTTTCTATACTTTTACATAAAACTGCTGAGACTAACTTTGTTCTTTCAACCCATTCTTGTTTCTTTTCATTAATAAGTGATGATTATCTCACTTGCAGCCAAGCATGTGGAAATGCTCTTTAAACATTTCATGCATATGAACACATCAGATGTTTTCTATGTAAACGTTTGTCTTGAAGAACAGTTTTCTATCAATTATCTAAAAACTTATGTACATTAATTCATCAGTTTTTTATCAGAAACATTTAACTTCTGAAGAGTACTAAAGACACTCAACATAAAGAACAACTGTACTTTTGAAGATCTTGATGTTTAATAAATCAATTAACCCTTTGACTGTTGTGACCCCAAATCCCAAAGAGTGAGAGTGGTGAGTGTGTGAGTGTGTGAGAGTGTGAGTGTGAGAGTGTGTGAGTGTGAGAGTGTGTGTGAGAGAGTGTGTGAGAGTGTGTGTGTGAGAGTGTGTGAGTGTGAGAGTGGAGTGTGTGAAGTGTGAGAGTGCGAGTGTGTGAGTGTGTGAGAGTGTGAGAGTGAGAGTGTGAGTGTGAGAGAGTGTGTGTGAGTGTGTGAGAGGTGTGTGGAGTGCGAGTGTGTGAGTGTGAGAGTGTGAGAGTGGAGTGTGTGAGTGTGTGAGAGTGTGTGTGAGAGTGTGTGTGAGAGAGCGTGTGAGAGAGCGTGTGAAGAGAAGGTGAGAGAGGTGTGAGAGGTGTGAGAGAGCGTGTGAGAGAGACGTGAGAGACGTGAGAGAGTGTGAGAGAGCGCGGAGAGTGTGAGTGTGTGTGTGAGATGTGTGTGAGAGTGTGTGAGAGTGTGTGAGAGTGTGTGTGAGTGTGTGAGAGTGTGTGAGAGAGTGTGAGAGTTGTGAGAGAGTGTGAGGAGTGTGAGAGTGTGTGAGTGTGTGAGAGAGAGTGTGAGAGTGTGGAGAGTGTGTGTGAGAGTGTGAGAGAGTGTGTGAGTGTGTGAGAGAGTGTGTGAGTGTGTGAGAGATGTGTGAGTGTGTGAGGAGTGTGTGAGATAGTGTGTGAGATAGTGTGTGAGATAGTGTGTGAGATAGTGTGTGAGATAGTGTGTGAGATAGTGTGTGAGATAGTGTGTGAGATAGTGTGTGAGATAGTGTGTGAGATAGTGTGTGAGATAGTGTGTGAGATAGTGTGTGAGATAGTGTGTCTGTGTCTGTCTCGCAAAATCTAAAAAAAAAAAAAAAAAAAAAAAAACTCCAATGAAATGACAGAGAATCTTTTCCCGATGTTAATGACACCAAAAGTACAAAATTTGATGGAAAACTTATGGAACTATGCTCTCGTAAAGTTAGCAATCTTGGTGATGTTTACGCATCGGTGATTTCGCCCACTTTGAGCCCTATTTTCAGCCAGTTTCATTGTTCCAGTTGACCAAACTCGTAACTATTTCTTTAGAACTCCATTTGTTCTATCGAATGAGCATAGAAACCGCCCATTTACAGATTTCAATTACCCAATAATGTCGTCAGAAATTGGCAATTTGGCCAATTTCACACAAATTAAAAAAGAGGCCAATTTCAAAATAGGATCCAGAAAGAACAATGCAGACATTCTTGGCACTAAAATAACATTTTCTCTGTTCAGCAGTCATGTCTCCAGGCCCCTCTTATATTACTCTTGCTTTCTATTTTGAATTTTTATTCACACAAAAAAATAGAAGACTTATTGTTATGCAGACTACTGCATTATTGTAATAATTGTATAAATAATGTCAACCCATTCATGACTGCGTATAAGAATGGCTAGTTGGACACTCATTGGACAATGACGTCATTTGTTTACTCTTGAACATTGGCAAAAATTGAACATTTCCGCTACTTTGAGCTCAATTTCAAGGTCCTTATCATCAAAATCATCTCTATTTCTGTAATATGTCTTCCATTCTATCAAAGGAGACCAAGAAAACGAGAATACAACCATAAATACTATACGAAAATACACCTCAAAGTCAGCCTTTTAATCCAAAAACAGTTGGAGTTTTTTTTTTTTGTGCTCATTATGCCCTGCGTGCTGCAGGATTTTCTTTATACCTTGCACACTGACCCATTCTCTCACTTGTGGGCCAACCAGCTTTCTCCCGCTTGATTTGACGCCGCTAGAACTTTGGAGTACTAAATATGTCAAAAAACACTGGCTTGTAAGACGTACATTATATATATGACCGAAACAGTCAAAGGGTTAAATGGTAGTCTCTACTGCAGTAAAGAATTTAGAGAGTTGATTAGCTTGCATATAAGACGGTAATACTTTTATATTACTAGTACAAACAGTACTGTCAAAGATCATGCAAGGTTTTAGAATATTATGTATGACAATATGTTAGTCTTATTTTAATTATTTCATAAGCATTTATATTTAAAAATTATTATGTAAGCCCTTTGTGGGTCATTAAATTAATAGCCAAATTATTGTTAATATTCAGCTTGAGGTCTCATGAAGCAGAGAGGCAATGTCACAACTTGTACCTTCTTTGGCTGGTAGGGCAATTTTTTCCTGCGTTTCCGCATGTCGCATAGATGCCTTATCAAAAGCAGTTACTCCCTGGAATATGCTCTGGTGTGTTCGTTCTGTTTCAATATCTGCAGGTGAAATTATCAAGCAAGACATGGTTTAACATTAATCAAAATAAAACCACGTATTAAACAATACCAGTTTTTGCTTGATGTTACCAAGACAGTTATAATCTACAGGGTGACCCGAAAAAGAAGAAACACTTTCGTCATCACTCACTCCATCACTGTCTTGATAGGCATGCCAATACTGTAGTTAAAAAACTGCAACATACGTATCTTCACCTGACCTTCAGAGTGCGGGTACTGTACTTCCTACCTCAAGGACTTGAGTCCGGCCAACTGATTTTCCTGAATCCCTTCAGTAATGTTACTTTGTTCATGCACACTTTCCCCTCCCCCCCTCTCTTTCTCCCTCTGTCTCTCTCCCTTTCTCTCTCACTTTCACTTTCTAGGCAATCTGTAAAAACAATCTCCTTAAAACTAATATTTCTGATGCATTTATTTCCCTTGTACATAACATTTTTTGAGAATTAAAATGGTACACAAATTTTGAAGCTTGCACCCAAACTAACTTCACTTAGCTTTGCTAAAATTAACAAGACAATAAATAACAAAAAAGGCACAATACCGTGACTGGAACGATACACAAATAACCCGCACATAAAAGAGAAGCTTATGACGACGTTTTGGTCCGACTTGGACCACTGACAAAGTCACACTAACCAGAGGAGGAGCAGGACGGCTATATATAGGCAGGAAGAGGTGGTGGTAGTAGTAGTACAAGAGTTGTATATAATATTGACAAGATGAAATTAAGACACATGCACAACACCCGGGCATCCCCATCATAGACGTTTCGCCATCCAGCCAGCCACTGGATGGCGAAACGTCCACAACAAAGACAACCAGACGCTGCACATGTGTCTTAATTTCCTCAGTAGTTGTAGTAGTAGTAGTAGAAGAGGTAGTAGTAGTGGTAGTGGTAGAAGCGGGAAATAAAAAGGACGAGCCAGTCAAAAACAAAGGAAGGGGAGCACTGCAAGAGAGCTAGATGCCCACAGAGGGAGAGCAAGCGCATAGAGGTGCGTGAAAGGGAAGTGGTGAAATAAATGAAGAAGGAACAGAAACACGAGACAGGAGAGAGAAAGACAACCCAGAGGAGAAAAGGAAAGAGGAAAGGGGAAGAGGAAGAAGAAGAAAAAGAAAAAGAAAAAATGAGGATTCAGGTTAAGTCACGGGTGTTCTGAAGATTGGAGCATTTTACAATGTAGTGGGAGAGGAAGGCATCTACAGAGACGAAGCCAGGGCTAAGGTTCATACAAGGAAAGTTGTGTATTTGAGAGGATTCAACTAGACGGCGACTGTTCGAGTTGGAAGTAGGGAAGACAGTTTTAGCAGAAGACCAGTCAATAGGATGGCTATGATCTCTGACGTGACAGAAAAGAGCATTGTTAGTGTCGGCAAGCCTAACACTATTTTTGTGCTCCCTAAGACTGTCAGAAAGAGATCGACCAGTTTCTCCGAAGTGTTAGGCTTGCCGACACTAACAATGCTCTTTTCTGTCACGTCAGAGATCATAGCCATCCTATTGACTGGTCTTCTGCTAAAACTGTCTTCCCTACTTCCAACTCGAACAGTCGCCGTCTAGTTGAATCCTCTCAAATACACAACTTTCCTTGTATGAACCTTAGCCCTGGCTTCGTCTCTGTAGATGCCTTCCTCTCCCACTACATTGTAAAATGCTCCAATCTTCAGAACACCCGTGACTTAACCTGAATCCTCATTTTTTCTTTTTCTTTTTCTTCTTCTTCCTCTTCCCCTTTCCTCTTTCCTTTTCTCCTCTGGGTTGTCTTTCTCTCTCCTGTCTCGTGTTTCTGTTCCTTCTTCATTTATTTCACCACTTCCCTTTCACGCACCTCTGTGCGCTTGCTCTCCCTCTGTGGGCATCTAGCTCTCTTGCAGTGCTCCCCTTCCTTTGTTTTTGACTGGCTCGTCCTTTTTATTTCCCGCTTCTACCACTACCACTACTACTACCTCTTCTTCTACTACTACTACAACTACTGAGGAAATTAAGACACATGTGCGGCGTCTGGTTGTCTTTGTTGTGGACGTTTCGCCATCCAGTGGCTGGCTGGATGGCGAAACATCTATGATGGGGATGCCCGGGTGTTGTGCATGTGTCTTAATTTCATCTTGTCTGTATTATATACAACTCTTGTACTACTACTACTACTACCACCACCTCTTCCTGCCTATATATAGCCATCCTGCTCCTCCTCTGGTTAGTGTGACTTTGTCAATGGTCCAAGTCGGACCGAAACGTCGTCGTAAGCTTCTCTCTTTTATGTTAACAAGACAATTTACCTTAAATTACAGCAAACCTAACTTTGGTCAGTCTAACTTCAGTTAATATTATTTATCAATGAAATGAGCTATATAGTCATACAGGGTGTCTGCAAAGTCCTTGTCTGATTCCATAAAATTCATTATATGGTAAATGACAAAAATGTAGTTCTCTGCATACTATAAAATAATTATCATTACAAAACGTCCTTGACAGAGAGACTGGGCATACACAAATAACCTGCACAAAAGAAAAACTCACGACGTTTAGGTCTGACTTCAATTATAACTAACCACATACTCACCTCTCCAATGTGCGAGTTATTTGTGTATTATTCCAATCACGGTACTGTGCCTTTTTACTATCTAGACTGGGCATAATTACCATTACAAAGTACCCCCCTCCCCACACTCCCTGGTATCTTTCCTTTAGTCCTGCAGGTTTGTGAAGGGTATATTTGTCAGTAGCTGATAACATCTGATGTCACACTGAATACCCTGGCAAATACAGTGGAACCTCTACTGACGAGTTTAATCCGTTCCATGATCTTGCTCACATCTGAATTTGCTTGTTTGCATAGTCAGTTTTCCTTATTTAAATTAATTGAATTGGAATTAATTCGTTCCAGTGGAATACCAGGCACAAGAAAATACTTCAATAATTTCACTATCAACTCTCTTGCTTTATCTATCACAATTCTTGTAACAAGACATAATAAACAATATTAATAACATAGAAACACGATATATACACTAGAATGAATAAAATACATGCCATTACGCATGTGGCTAGTGGTGGTGACAGCGGCCATTGTTGTTGTTGGGCCACCACAGCGGTCATTCCTGCTCCTGACTACATGTGCAGAGAACCTAATCTAACCCAAAAAAGTAAGACAGAGTGACTTATAAGTGCTACACTCTTAATACTACACTTTGCCACTTCTGCTTCATGTTGTCTGCCACTGCTACCTCATGATGTCTGCCACTGCTGCTTCATGATGTCTGCCACTGCTGCTTCATGATGTCTGGCAGTGCTGCTTCATGATGTCTGGCACTGCTGCTTCATGCTGTCTGCCACTGCTACCTCATGATGTCTGCTCCCACTTTTGCTAGCATGTTGAAGAGCTTTCCAATATGTGAAGGTTGAGAGGCAGTGCCAATCAGACAGGTATTGGAAGGTGACGTCATTTGTTTACTCTTGAACATCGCCAAAGAATCAAACATTTCTGCTACTCTGAGCTCAATTTCAGGGTACTTTTCATTGTGAAACCAATCAAAATCTTATCTATTTCTGCAGTAACATCTTCCATTCCATCAAATGAGACCAAAAAAACGAGAATACAACCATGAAAACCATACGAAAATATATCGCTAAGGGGAAGATAATGGCGGAGAAGTGAACTCTTGTTATTTATGGTCCGATTTCTTTAATTTTTGGTGTACGCTAAGAAGCATCTTTCCATCATACATTGCCCAAGTTTCAATAAGATAGTCCAACAAACAACCGAGATCCAATTCCCTAGATCAAAAACAAGAGCCCCTCACCAGCGTCAAGGAACCTCCCTTGAGGCCCGCTCGCATCTGGAAATTTCGATCATGTCTGGAAGCAAAAAATTGACTGAGCAACTGCTCATATCCGGAAAACCTCGCAGGTGGATGCACACGTAAGCAGAGGTTCCAATGTATGTGTAATATATTAAAGGACCAAGTGTTACAGGCTACTAGAGACACTCGTGTTGAGGATGCATAGAGGAGACAACCCTGCAGTTGTATAAAAATTTATCATATGAAGAAAGCTACCTTTTCAAATTTTCAAATATGTTACTATTTTGATGTAAAATTTGCTGTAAAAATATGAAATCAGAAGAGTACTTTATTTTGGACACCATATAAGATCCAGACTGATTTCAAATTGCTGCAACGATTAATTTAAAAATAAATCTTTCCACTTATATTTGATAGTGAAATTCACCATTTCTGTATATTTCTTATAGCTCCTAGTCTTGTAATTTTTTTCTTTAATATAGATGCCTGGTCTAGACCAGGGAGTGGGGGAGATGATCCCCAAAACTGGAACATAAAATACAATTGGGTTTGTTTGGCTTTTTTCTTTTTTTTGGTTGTTTTATAAGTAAAAACTTAATTCTCAAGTACTACAGTAGTCCCCCCCAAATTTGCGGAGGTTACATTCCAATACCACCTGCGAATTTGGAAAAACAGCGAATTCTGGACGCGGTTAAAAAATGCCTATTTTTATAGTTTAAACCCTAAATATGCCCTCAAAACACTTTAATTTCATATTTAGCTTCATACATCACCCTTAAAGAAAAAAAAAAAAGAATATAAAGAAACTTATATACAGTACTGTACTGCTATGTCTCCTGCCAGGCTAGAATATAAAATACTGATATTACCTCCATATGTACTGTAATTCATGCAAACCCATTTTCTTTGGTATACTGTAAATCATGCAACCCCGTTTTCTTTGGTATATGTACGGTAAATATACGAGTAATAATTTAATTTAGTAAAAGTAAAGCTAAATGTATGGGTGCTCACCAATAATGAATGATACTGTTCTCTCTACAGCACTAAAAAATTTATAAAGTATTATATTTTATACGTAAATTTTGCGGAATTTACGTTAATATTGTTACAAAATTATTAAATTATATTTTTCTAAACATTTACCATTAAAATGCATAAAAAATTATATATTGCCAAGAAAAGAGCAAAAAAAAATTTTTCCACAAATTTACTGGGATTTCTGCAAACAATTATTAGTTAGGTTCTAGGGAAAAATCAGCGAATTACTGAAGCCGTGAATTCAGAACCGTGAATTCGCAGGGATCCACTGTATTGTGGTCAAAAGATAAGAGAAGCCC